ATCTATTATAGAGATGATCGTGTTGATGGATTTATCTAGTTTAGAGATGATCAAGTTAATTAGGTAGGGTCAAGACATTTAGACTACTCTATTATGTTAGGAGATCTCTTATTAGGTGAATGTGTGGACACATTGTTAATATGTTTGCATATGATGTATGCTATGATGTATTCATATGCATTGTTGACTGTCTTGTTTAACATGATTTGGATAAGATACATGTTTGTTTAGAAGTGTTCACATAGTATAGTGACCATTGACGGGTCTTTACAAGGTGAGTGTAATCATTAAAATTATCTCCTATATATTAAACATGAACCTTTATACGAGAGTGTATTTAAAAACTTTTATTTCACGTAAGAGATTTTACAGATTTTTTAACTTATTATTTAATTTATTTTTTATTTATCATAATTATTTATGAATTAAATTTTAATATTTTAAATAAATTATCAATAAATAAAAATAATATTAGACTACAATATAAATTATTTATCATAATTTAAAATATAATTTATATATTCAAACATAATATTTATTTATATATAATTTATTATAAATTTTAATTATATATAATAAATATTTATCTTATACATCGTACAAGCTATAATTATAATATTATTAAATGATTCAATAATTAAAATTTAATATAAAGATAAAGTTACCGAATTAAATAACTAATAACATTTAACCTAACTTTTTCTGGTTTTCTTCTCAAAGTGAGAAGATACGGTGAGAGTCGTACGTATTTATAAGAAGATTGTGAAAAAATTGAGTGAATTATGTTACACTCGTTAAAAAGACAATATCACATCATCTCTTTCGATATTAAAATACACATTTAATCAATTTAACTTAATACATTTAAAATAAATTATATTTTTATTTTTGTAAAAATGTAAATATTATATTATTTATTTATACTAAAATATAAAATAAATTATATTTTTCTTTTTTAAAAGATGCGAGTAACACATTTAAAGTAAATTATACTTTCATTTTCTAAAAAAAAATTAAGTATTACACTATTTTTTATATTAAAATATATGACAAATTATATTTTTCTTTCTTTAAAAAATTGAAAGTATTATATAATTACTCTCCCTTTATATCAAAATTAATAAAATTAAAACACTTTGTGTCTTTATTCAAAATAAAATGAAAATTGAAATTAGGTAATAGAAGTATGCTAGATCTATTGATATCCGTTGATCCTTGAACTTTAAAGTCTTGAGTTTAAATATTGGATTTGATAATTTTTTTTTTATATTTTTAAGAATAAAAGAGTATAATGATCTATGAAAATTAAGATAATTATTAAAAGAGGTGTCCCCTTATATATTAGTAAAGATATATAATTTAGTTTATTTAATTTAAAATTACTAAATAATATTCATTGTAAAATTTTAAAATATATGGTAAAATAATTTTAGTTTCTTAAGATATGATTCACTCACTTGTTAAAATTTTGTCGATGAAGAAAAAAGAAAATATGAAATGAACATTTGACAATATTGAAAAATAAGTTCCACATCAACTACAGACAAGATAATTAATAAAAATATAAATTGAGACAATCATTATCTTATAAATTAATTTTGTAGGGTTGAGTTAGATATAATTTACCTTTAACGGTGATATTAGAACTGTCTAAATTCACTCTAAAATGATTATTTACCATTGATACACGTACTAATTAATCCAATAATATCGAATGTGAAAGATGTATTAGGAAAATTTTTAGCCTCACGTATTCTTAAATCATTAAAAATAGTTACTCTCCATTTGTCAATATATCAAACTTAATAATGTTGAACATAAGGAGTATGTTGAGAAAAAAACTAAAATCTCATACCAATTATAAATAAAATAATTATATAAATAAGAAATAATCCTCATCTTATAAATAAATTTTATAAAATTAAGTTAGGTTGTAAGATTGAAAAGATAACATTTTGTAGCCATGTTTTTTTTTGGGAGTGAAAAGAAATCTAATATGGAAACCTGAAGAGGTCCTACCGTGTCATATATGCTAGGATTGTAAAGGTGGCCATCTCGCTAGCTCTCACGAGCCACTTCCATTTGCTTTTGTATACAATAATTAAAGTGCACAATGCAAACCTTACAGTTACAGATCCATGGTCTCTGATGATGAATTTTCCCAAACAATTTGAACCATGGCTGGACCCCAGTTATAGTGCTACAAACTCTGACTGAATGTTTCATCTTCTTCCTAACAGCGAGGCCACAGAGGCTGACAATTAACCCGACACTGCCTCATAAAAAGGCTTTACATAGTTTGGAATGATTTGTTTATTTATAGCTCTCCAAGAAACCATTATTAATTCATGGTTCTGGGTGGAGCCCCATTTGCCATTTTTCCTTTCTTCCCTCTTAAATCAGTATTCGGCCTGCTCTTACTAGTTCCTTCCTCTCACACTTGATTGCAGTAATATTTAATATTCTTGGGTTACAACCATAATGTTGAGATTTAAATTTATAACATAGTACAAATCATCGAGCCATTTGTCACTCACCATCATCTCAGTTATATATTAGTATCACATTATTGGTAACATATCCTCAAGATATTAATCAAAAGATAATAAATAAATTTTTTTTATTATTGACTAATTGTAGTATATCTTGACCACCTTACCAAAAGATCTGAAGGTAGCTAATAATGGAATATTTTTCAACATTGTATTTTATCAAGAAGTTCTATATTAGTTGTCTCAATTATTCGGATATAAACTTATATATTTGTTAAACAATTTTACTTAATGTTAATTGATTTTAAGAAAAAATTTAATATAGTACGAGAGTTTATAACCCATCTTTTTAGTTTATCTATTTTTGATAAATATAGTCTAGTTTGACAGACTTCTATGAATGGAGGTGTGTTGGAAAGTCGAAGGGAGGTGTTGGAAAGTCTCATGTTGTTTGTCTCGATTATAGGTGTTGTTTATATATTGGTACTAGAATGAATTTCAACATAGTATCAACGTCTATATAGCTAATATTTGTGCTTCACATGTTATGATAGACATCACCTAATATTTGTGCTGGAATATTACTAGACATCAATTAGTTTTAAGCTAGAATTTAACATGTTGAGAAGTCTCTAAATAATTGGTTTTAAGATGAAATATAATAGTATTACATTGTTATACTTTATTAATGAATCTAGTTGTTCGTTTATTAATGCACGATATATAGTGTAAGCACGTAGCCATGTCAAACTAACATCAACTACTAAAATTGACTTAGTGATGAGAGTTTGAATAAATTATAAAAGAATAAATTTTACCCTTATTCTCATTATTAATAACAAACATTAAAATAATATAAAAATAACATTTTAATAATTTTCATAGCAAATGAATATAAGAAAATAATAAATATATTTAATAATAATTCTGGTTAAAAGTGTATTAATATCTAATAAATTATGGAAAAAATTACTTAAAAAAATCAGTATTAAATAATTTTATAAGATTTTGGGTTAAATATGTTTTTAATTCTTGTAAAATGAGTGAATTTTTAGTTTTGATCTTTGTAATTTTTTTCATCCTTATAAAATTTATAAATATTATTTTTAGTCTTTATGAAATGAATAAAATATATTTTTAATTTTTATAAAATATTTTTCTTTGATTTTTATCCTTTTAAAATTTAAAATCATTATTTTTTGCTTCTAATGATCATTTTAAGATAGAAAAATGATAGTTATTTTAGAGATCTATACAAATTTATACAACATGATATCACTATTAGTTCTAGATAATACCTAGGATGGTTAGTTAATTATTTAATAAACAAAATATAGTTAAAAATGTAACATAAAAAAATATAAACTAAAAATATTAGTTAATATTTTGAGTGCATTGATAGCATGCTGAAAAAGCTAATTTTTATTCTTTAATTAATACTTCAAAACTCTAAAAAAATAATATTTTAAATATTTTCGTTATAATTTAAATTCTGAATAATTTGACTAAAAAATATAATTGTTATCACTTATCTCCAATTATTTCTAATGTTTGTCTAAGTTTAATATAAAGAAGAATATAAATTACATCTTTTAAATTATAGATCTTGTTATAAAATTAAGAAAATGTGGAAGAAAAAAAAAAGGAATGCTAGGAAAATAAATAAGAAAAGGTTATAAAAAGGTTGATAATTGTGGAAAATATGTAATGGGAATCTTGTTAATTAAGTTGAGGGCAAGAGTACGTTGTAATGAATGAAAGGTAAGGTAAGTGGGGCCCACCGCAGGAATACTAGATCCGAGACCTCGCCGCATGGAGCGTCTCTACGCTGCGCCTCCACCGACACTTTCATTTAATCAAACGTCTCACATTTCGCCACGTCAAATACCCTTCTCACCTAAACGATGCTGATTACTATAACCGCGTTCTCTTCCTACTTTTCATCTTATCCCATGCACATGCAACCTTCATCAATACCCTTCAAATATTAACTCACTAAATATAAATTATTTCATTACATTATAAATATTAGAACTTATATCATGTATTCGATTCATCCAAATTAAAACAACGGTTCATTTTGTAACCGATACATTTTGTCCAAATCAATAGTGAAAAAATTATCTGAATTAGTCATAAATTGTTCAAAATTAATAAAAATCCACGATGAAACATATTTAAATTGATTATATTTCTTGATTTTTTTATTCAACTAAATATTTTTGGTAAATAAAATTAAAACCCCAATAAAAGGTCTTCTTATCAAGTCTACAACATAGATTATAACTATTTTTTTTTGTAATTAAAAATTATTTTTATTTAATATATTATTATAACAAAATTTGAATTAATACATCCTTTGTGTTTGTTGTTAAGCGGTGATTGGTTAGTGAGGGAATTTATTTTAATTTTTGTTGGTAAATGTCAGCTGAATTAGTTGTAAGGATAGAATTTAGTTTAATAATTGAATAGAGAAGAGAGATAGTAGGGGGCAAGGGGCGAGGGGCGAGGGGGACATGGATTTTGATTTAATAATTAATAGGAAATAATAAAAGTAAAAGGTGGTAGAACCGGTTGAGCCGGTGGCGCGAGGGTGGAGTGGCAGCAGAGGATAATAGCAGCGTTGGGAGGCAGTATATATAAGAGCAATGGGTGAAAGAGAGGCATAGAGAGAGTTGGGTGAGTGAGGAAAATGGAGTTGTTCTTCTACACGGTGTTCGGCGGTTTGGCCGCGGTGGTGGCAGCCATGGAACTCAGCAAGAACAACAAGGATCGAATCAACACATCTGGCGCATTCAATTCCTTCAAAAACAACTACCTCCTCGTCTATTCCCTCATGATGGGTACAGATCTCTCCCTCCTCTCTCAGATCTCGCTCGATCTCTTCCTCATTGCGCTCGATCTGCCTTTTCTTTCTTTCTCAATTTCACCACTCCTTATTATCGCCATATTTTCATTTCTCTTTTTAGTTTCTCGCTGCTCTCTATTCTTCATTTTTTATTTCGTGTTTGTTTGTTTGTCTGCTTGTTGTTTCTCGCTGCCTTACGCCATGTTTGCTTTTGAAATTGAAAGGGTTCGACGCGATCTCGACCGATGAATGGTGACTGTAGTGACGTGTCGGTGTCTTTTGTTATTGGATTTTTGTTTTTTTTTTTTTTTTTTTTTTTTTTTAAGGTAGATGAGTGCGATGCAATTTGCTTGTGTGTGGTATTCATTATGTTTTACTCAACTCACTTTTTTTGTTTAGACTTGGTTATTATTATATTGGTTTTTCGAATAACTATAATGTTTGTTGAGATCATATTTGAGAGGAAATTAAAAGGGTTGATTCATTGGATTCGTTTTAGTTTACGTGTTTATCTGATTTTAGTAGCATTTTTCATCGAATCTGAGGACAGTGTTGTTGGTGAATGTATTGGGCAATGGAAATTGTTATCGGAGATGGGTCTTGCATTCGCGTGTGTGATCGTGCTATTGTGAAAATGTCAAATTGGGATTGGAGTTAATGTTTTTGGGTTTTCGAAATATAATGGTTTGTTGTTTGTATGGTTGTAGCTGGAGATTGGCTGCAAGGTCCATATGTTTACTACCTTTACAGTACATATGGATATGGGAAAGGGGACATAGGACAACTGTTCATTGCTGGTTTTGGATCTTCCATGCTCTTTGGAACAATTGTGGGATCTCTAGCTGACAAACAGTGAGATGTCTTTTCGTTCTTTTTTTATTTTTTTTATTTCTCCTTGCTGCATATCTGTTATATAATTTTTCAGTGTCTCATGCTTCTTACTACCCTGTAATCAGAGGCCGGAAGAGGGCTTGTGTGACTTACTGCATAACCTACATTTTGAGCTGCATCACCAAGCATTCTCCTCAATACAAAGTCCTCATGTTGGGCCGTGTTTTGGGAGGTATTGCTACTTCACTTCTGTTTTCAGCATTTGAATCGTGGCTTGTTGCTGAGCACTTCAAGGTGAGCAATGATTAATTGTTTTTAAAAGTTATCTTCTGTTTGTTTGTTACGAATATTTCCTTTGGATATGCTGATTTAAGACATACAGGAAGTGCCTTGCTATTTGGAGGCAGTCATTGATTGACTTGTGAATATTACAAGATTTTTCTCTGTATTTGGAGGGTATAGATGACTTGAATTATACTGTGTAATTTTAACTGTCATAGGAACAAGAGTGGCATTTATGTCCTCAAAATGATAATGATTATTTAGCTTGATGGTTTTGGACTGACATTCCAAATTGGGCTAGTCTTGTATGTAGTACATACATTATACATTATATTAGAAACACTTCTTGGATGTCATTCTAAACAGAACTTGCCACTACTTCAATCCTACAACTAAATTTCAAAAAAGCAGTTAGAAAATGTATAATTATTTATAGATTTAGTGCAAATCTCTTGGTTCAGTATATCATATAAATATATTGATTGAGAAATTTGTATTTTTGTATTTATTGGATTCATTACATGTTTTTTGTCTTGATATTCTTGTTATTGTGTATTTATGATTCTGAATTGTCTCCTTTTTTAACATTAATTTGTCAGAGGGGCTTTGATCAACAATGGCTATCATTAACATTCTCAAAGGCTATATTTCTTGGAAATGGTCTTGTTGCTATTTTGGCTGGACTGTTTGGAAATGTCCTTGTTGATACGTTGTCTCTTGGACCTGTGGCCCCCTTTGATGCTGCTTCATGTTTTCTTGCTATTGGTATGGCCATCATACTATCTACATGGACAGAAAATTATGGGGATCCTTCAGATAACAAGGACTTGCTTACCCAATTCAGGGGTGCTGCCGTTGCCATTGCTTCTGGTAGATTTCTTACCTTAGAATTTATTTTCTCATTGTTTTTATACAATGGTTTTATTCTGTAAATTTGAACTTTGAAACTCTATGCACGATATTTATCTTTATAACAGTTTACTTGTAAAAAATGTGAACATTATTGTAACCAATAGTAGTTGTTAAAGCTACACTAAATGGAATTGATCAAGTAAATTTATGCTTTCACTTTTCTTATTCTTTCATCATTTATTTTATGCATCTCATCTTGTATTCCTGTTTATAGCATACTTCCCAAGTTCATTTTATACTGCATTCATTGTGCTTCAGATGAAAAAATAGCCTTGCTGGGTGCCATACAGTCTCTCTTTGAAGGTTCAATGTACACCTTTGTGTTTCTGTGGACTCCTGCATTGAGCCCAAATGATGAAGATATTCCCCATGGTTTTATTTTTGCAACATTCATGTTAGCTTCAATGTTGGGAAGCTCACTTGCATCTAAGTTGATGGCCCGCACATCACTCCGAGTAGAGAGCTATATGCAGATCGTTTTTGCAGTTTCATCTGCTTCTCTGATGCTTCCCATTCTGACCACTGTATGCCATTCTTCCAATATGCTCTTCTCCTCTTTCCTCCTAGTGTTCTGATTTATATATCTCACACCATTTTGCTATATTTTGTCTTGGTTTTTGTGGAACAGTTCTTGGTAGTTCCTTCCCAAGTGAAAGGTGGAAGCATCTCGTTTTCTGGTTGCGTTCAGCTTCTTGGCTTCTGTGCTTTTGAGAGTTGTGTTGGCATATTCTGGCCATCCATTATGAAGATGAGGTCTCAATACATTCCTGAGGAGGCCAGGAGCACCATCATGAACTTTTTCCGCATTCCTCTGAACATTTTTGTGTGTGTTGTGCTGTACAATGTATGTTACAGAATCTACTACATATAATACAATGCTTGATCTTAACAGTGCAATATTTTTTTATGTGCGTTTTTGACTAATTATGTATTTTCTGTGCAGGTTGATGCATTCCCTATCACTGTTATGTTTGGCATGTGCTCAATCTTCCTTTTGGTGGCTTGTTTCTTACAAAGGCGATTGATGGTTATTTCAGATAAGCCAAGTAAGACCCTCATACTGTTGATCTCTTGCTTAAGTTGATTTAGAAATATGACAGCAAAGGGCTCATGCCTTATTTGGGCTAATTTGCTGTGTTGCAATTTTATTTTATCTGGGAATTTCTGGTACACCTATGGCTTCATTGCTCCTGTCTGAGGCTGTTCTTGTAGATCACTGACAGTTCAGCGGAGCAAAACATTCTTGTGTGCAAGATGACAGCCTATTTTGGTTAAGTTGGCGTACTTGTTTTACCTTGAAAATGATTAGTCAACGTTCTCCTTCCTTTTCGTTTACAGGGCTCCAATACTTGCCCTGTGTATGTTATTTGGATTTTGGCATTACCCCTTTATAAAAGCGTTCTTACTTTGAGCTGGGATTATTTTTTTGTTTGAAACAGAAACAGAAGATTGGCAATTGAAGGATAGGGACGCCGAGTCAGAACCATTGACCCTTTAACTGGCTTTTGCGCAAGTTTTGCGGAGGCACTGAACTTCTGCTTCAGTCTTACTAATGCAGTTTATGTCTATGACTGTGTTCGATGCGATAAGAGTGAAGGTAAACCTGATGCTCACAAAGAGATGGGATTCAATTTCAAGCAACAAGCAGAAAGGACAAGTGGAGCAATTTTTTAAGTGTTTTTGGTATAAATATTGTAGTGCAGTAGATTTCTATTGGCTATTACTTGAGGAGAAATCTCCGTTTTGGTAGTTCTGATGGTATTCTTTTGGGGGCAGTATCTATGTTTGTCCCGTTGGGAATAGTATATATGCCATACTATTTCTTTCTTTGGATTTTAATTTTGTAATGAAATCGTACTCCATTCAATTAATGCATCCTTTTTATTTTCAGTTATTTTCCCTCAGATTATGGTTGTGCTTTTGTTAACGTTCAACTCATGAAAAGATGCTAAAATTTATTCATATTCACTTTCAACTGATTTGATTAAACCGGATACAAGATACAATAAGTTCACTAGAGGTTCTAGTAAGTATATAATAAGTATATAAGTAGAAGCAATCTTCATTTTACGATTTTAGAAGGTCATTTAATTTATTAAGATATTAGAAGATGCCCTATCTATGAGGGCGATATCTCATATCCAAGAGAATAGTTATGGCTGTCAAATCAGTGAGGAATTTGTTAACGGTTGCAGTGGAGGGAAGGGAATTGCTCCCATGTCTGGTCACGGCGTGGTCACGGCGTGGGACAGCTGTTCCCATTCCAATAGCACTTAATAACAACTGAGCCCACCAATTTAGATCTTCTTGACCACACACTTGCATTTTTGCTCTAGCAGTCTGCAGTCGGTTTCTCTTGTGTCTTCATCAGATGATTGATTGATGCAATGGACTCGCTTCCGAACCAACCGTGATTAGTTACGTTAGTTTTTGTCTTCCTATTTCTTCGATCTTTGGTGCTGAGGTAGTTGTGTTTACATCAGTCTTTGTCGGCATCAGTTACATCTATTTTATCCTTTGCAACAAAACGCGTTCCATTAGTGCCTACGCTCCGCTCAAAGAAAATGCCCAAAACATTTTGCATGCATAGATTGATATAAGTTCATCAATGGATCTAGCTCAATCTTTCTTCTTCTTTTTTTATGGTGAAAATGAATCTAGTTCAAATGGTTGATTAAAGTTTGCAAGTGTTATAATTTCTTTTTTTGGTATTAAATTCAAATTTTATAGATAGAAAGAAAATTGATACAAGTTCTTATTAGATTTAGGCATAAACATATTTTACGTTTAGTTGAATAACAATAAGAAAAGTAAAAGAATGGGTAAAACAGAGAGTATAGGTGAAACTGTAAAAGGACCTTAGGAGAAATTCTTCAATTTTCATTTTTTAAAGGAAAAAAGCAATTCTCCCTTTACTTTGCTTTGAGGACAAGATATTCTGAAGGACGGTAAGATAGTTGTCGTTCTTCCTTTGTTGGTCTCTTATGTGAGTCTCATTAGAACTCCGGAAGAAAAAAAATCTAATTTCAGATACTCTTTCTTTTCCTCTATTGCTTTATTCATTTCATTTATATTTTGAAAAGTCCATTTAAATAACTTGTTGATCTAGTTACCCAAATCAAATATCCACATACAAAAAGGTAAGAGACTTGCTATTAATATATATATATATATATATATAATTTCTTTGTCTCTTTTAAACAATGATATTGAACTTAACATTTCAATCCTAGCCTGATGGCACTAACACTTACATATGGCCCTCATGAATAATGATAACAGGATCATCAGATCAGATTATACAGCATATTGGCACAACAGTTTAAACAAACTTGTCACTTGTGAGAAAAAGGCTACAATCTCCAAATTATTGAAAGTGCTATAAAATAACTGAACACATTGTTTGATACAAATAAATAAATATATACGTGAAATAATGCTTAGATACAGAGAAGTTTTACGGTGAACTTCATTATTGGATTGAATACTAAACACGATCATATGACACGACTACGTTTTGCTTCAGCAGAAGCAACTTCCAAATCCCCAATGAAGAAAAGGATTTTGTCCAAAATTCCACGACTTGATCTCTCTTCAGCTAGAGAACTTTCTCCATTGAAGTTAAATTCTGAATGGCAGCTGTGAGCAGTTACTTTTTCCTGATTTTTTCTTGAACCTAAATATCTCTGTATCTCACCTTGGTGAACAAGATAGTAGTCACTGCCTTCTCTAATAATCTTCAAACCCCTATTTTGTGAAAAGATGAAAAAAAACTAATTCCCTTCAGATCATAGTCTAATCATTGTTTTAACAGACTTATTTGCTAATTCCAAAACAATCAATAATTTTTTGTTGAATAATAATGACTCATGTAAGAGCTATAAGCTATTTCCAGGTAAGTGGAATCCAACATCCATGTTGTAGCTGCATCTAGTAGCAACATTTTAAAAGTGGACTGGTCTAATTATTGGAAGAGGTTTAGTGTTAAAACCCAGATGTCGCTCTATCTCTCCTCGGTGAACAAGATAGTAGTCACTGCCTTCTTTAACAATCTTGAAACCCCTATTTTGTGAAAAGATGAAAACAAGTAATTCCCTTCAGATCAGTGTCAAACAATCATTGCTGCAAAAGATGTAGTATCAAGCATTTTTCTTTGACCCTATATGAACCAGTTTTCTAGTTCTTTGATCGGTTTTCCTCAAAGTTGGTTATGTGGTTTAGTTAGATCGGACACTAAACCGGTTCACTAGCTTTTTGGTCGGACCAACCGGTTCTGTTTTCAGAACGCATGTTATTAGCGGTTTAGAATGCATGTGAGGAACTATGCAAGGAGAAAGCAAAAACTCCTTTGACCATCATGGTCATGGCATTGACAAGATGAAACATTAGTGATGTCTGTATATGCATGCCCTTTAAGTGTATATTTTGATACCAGTTTAAAATTATGTTCAAACGTGTTTTAATGCAAAAATAAATAAATTCTGAGCATAACTTTTTTCAACCTCAGTTGAATTCAATTCAATTGGTTCCTAAACACGCTCCGAGAATCTCAGTGAAGTAAATTGAAGAACTTACACTCCAATTCGATCACAGCGATCTTGCACCTCATATACATGTTTCCATGATTTTGAACCCATAGGAGCATAAAAAGCAGCATGATCTCCTCCCCATCTCTTCTTAAAAAGGTTAGACCATAGAGCATCGTCTGAGGCCACGAACTTCCACCTCCTACTTACTGTACATATGCAACAAATTGTTAAATTCATGCCTTATCAAACACAAGTTAATAAAATTCTGAATCAAAAGAAAACTTAAATTAAAACTTGTCAAATTATACTATTTTTTGGGTGCGACTTATTCACCAAATCATCATTATCACTCAGTTGCCAATTACCAAATCCCTAATTCTAACTCAAATGTTTTCTCATGGGCATGATCTAAAAACTTTTGTTTGGATTCAATTGTATCTGTACAAGAAGAGGTAGACATCAAATGTCTAATTAAACATAAAATCACATAATTTTTTCAATTTCATCACTCATTAAAACAAAAAAAAACAAAAAATAAAGTTGAGCATTAAAAAACAGGAAATATCAACCAATGGCATGTCATGTGGCAAAATTGGCCAAGCCCCAATGATAAATGAAAGGAAGAATCAAGATGGAATCATTGAAATGATTCGGCAGAAGCTGAACAAACAAAATCAACCGAATTTAGAGGATGATCTCAGTTTCAGATCCAATTCAGACAGATAGAAAACAGAATACATAAACAAAAATAATTGAATTAAAGGAAGAGAATTCAGATCTAATATGAACATCTGAACAAATAAATTGGAAAATAAAAGAATGAAATGTTTAGAGAAAGTGTGGTGTGGGTGACCTTGTTGAGCAACAGCGAGATGCTGGTAATCCAAGAGACAGAAAATCTTCATATAGATCTCAAAAGGTAAGCTCTCCATTTTAGTTTTTGAGGATTTCATTTCAGAATCTAAACTCAGAAAATTTATGCAACCACAGTCCCAGGTTTTGTAAGGTCTTAATAATATTCATTCACTCATTCAATATCACTCATTTTATCTCAATAAATAAATAAATAAATATATATATATATATATATATATACATATATATATATATATACCATATTCGCGCGTAGCTGTATTATCGCTACTCGCTCTATCTTATTTATCATCCATTAATGTCATCGCATTTAGAATATTTATATACGAGTATTTTACACTGCACCCACTATTTATTGAATTTTATTAACGTCTGTGTTTTTTTAAGTCAACGTTGGTCTTTAAATGTAAGTAAAATTTATAACTTTTTTTCAATAATAATATTTTTATAAATAATAATTAATTTATTTTATTAAATAAAAATAAGTAAGAGACGAAAAGTTTAAATTAAAGAAAAATTATATAAAAAAATAATGGTTAAATTAAGGTGCATCATGTTTATTAATATAACATACTAAATTTCAAATTTTCAGTTTTTAAAATTTAATTAAAAATTAAAGTAAGTTACAAATTAAACTGAAATAAAATTAGATAATCAATATAAAAAATGGCACGTGACATAACGAAGAATATATAATCTTTAAAAGGATAAAATGTGTTCTAACTCTTTCAATTTTGATAACGATGCATTCACATTAGTTTTCAATTTTGAGTTAGAATTGATTCGCAACAAATTATATCATGTGTGTTAGATTAGATGTATTAAAAAAATAATGTGTAATTCCAAGCGTGTAGTTCAACGGTAGGGGTTGATCCACGCGCTTAAACAAGGTCAGGGATAGCGAGGAGATTAATCACGTCTGTCGTTGGTATTCCAGGGACGAAAAAAAAAATGATGTGTATTAATAACCAAATATATTGATTTATGTGAAAAATAAAAAATATATATATATATATAAAACTGAATATGTTGATGAATTGATATAAAGTTTTTATTAATTAACAAGTGATTTTAATTATATAATATGATGTGTCTTATGTATGCATGAAATTGTGTTAATTATTTAAAAGAATTTAATTACTTTTTAGTTTTACACTATACTTACACAATAATCATATAGATTTTGTTTTTCACAAAAATAGATATAATCTCTAAAAATAAAAAATTACTATAAAGGACGTAGGTATCATTTGCTCCTACTTATTCAAATGTTGGTCAAATAACCTAGTACTCTTTTCTTGAATTTAAACTAAATGAAAATTTCTTAAAAACTCTTGTTCTCTAAGAATTTTGATCAACGGATGTGACCGTATTGTAAATTTAAGTCATTTCATTAGCATACGAAAGAACATTTTTGAAATAAATATTCAAATTCATCATATGAAGATAAGAAATATCTAGTTCAACCTCAAAGGCCCAAAAGAACTTTAAAAAAAAAATCCTCAAAAGAACTTAAGTATTTAATCTAAAAATATTAAAACAAAATTGACTATCAAAGATATGTCGATGTTCTAAGTTTATTTACATCTAAATATTAAAAGTTTAATTTTTATTTACTATTTATATATAGTTCTTTTTTTACTTTATTAAATAATTAGAAACCTAAGTGGGGTCCAAAATCCAGAATGTATTATATACCAAAAGAATTAATTATCTACATTTTGAAGTTATTAGGCCACGAAGAGTAATTATGTCAAGTTTGTTTATGTTATACGTAATAACATACTTCTAGTATAATTTAAATAAGGATTTTATTTTTTAAAACAATGAATACTAAAAAATATTACATGATTTTCTAGGGAAAAGAATCTCAATATAGTGAGAGAAAAAATGCTTTTAATAAAAACTTGGACCACCCGTGGAACTTTTCAGTAAAAAAGTGCTACTAACTTAAGAGCATCTCTAATGACAAATGTTTGGAGAGTTTCTTAGTCCAAGTAACAGATCCTTAAGGAAACTTACCATTGAAAGAGTCTTAGATAGCATCAAAGTTGCTTAAAATTTTACTTGAATGTTCAAATAGGAAGCAAAAGGCACAAATCCTCTGATCTGTGTATCTTCTTATATTATAAATGAAAAAGAGAGTATTACAAGAAAAGCTGCAAAGTCTAGAGACCTAAGCAATCATATCAAGCTAGAGTACAATAAGTAAAATATATTAAAATATTTAATAAACAGAAGAGGCTTTCTAAATAAGATATTCTAACACTCCCCCTCAAGCTGGTGCATATAGATTATATGCACTGAGCTTGGAACATAAAAATTGGATAAGAGGCCTCCTTAATGACTTAGTCATAACATCTGCAAGTTGTTCACTGGAATTGACAAATTCAGTACTGATTTCCTTGAACAGCAACTTCTCCCTCACAAAATGACATTCAACCTCTATGTGCTTGGTTCTCTCGTGAAATACTAGATTAGAAGCAATGTTAAGAGCGACTTGATTATCACAATGCAATCTCATTGGATGATCCTCACAAAACTTTAATTCTCGAATGAGTTGCTTAATCCATACAAATTCACAAGTAATTAAGGCCATAGCTCGATATTCAACTTCAGCATTATATTGAGCAACAACATTTTGTTTCTTACTCTTCCAAGAAATGAGATTTCCACCAAGGAATACACAATATCCAGTAGTAGAACATCTATCTATAGGACATCCTACCCAATCAGCATCACAATATCTAGAGATTCTACTGTCTCCGTTGTCCTCATACAGTAATCCTTGTCTTAGAACCTTTTTAATATATCTAAGAATACGTAGAACAACATTCCAATGATTGATATGTGGAGCCTGCATGAACTGGCTAACAATCCTTACTGCAAAAGAGAGATCAGGTCTTGTGATTCTAAGATAAATGAGTTTCCCAACCGATCTCCTATACTTTTATGGATCTGTAAACGGTTCACCTTGATCAGTCATTAACTTTTGGTTAGGATCCATAGGACTATCAATAGGTCTACAATCAATCATGCATGTTTCCTCCAAAATGTCCAAAGCATACTTCCTTTGAGAGATCACAATGCCTTCCTTTGACTGGGCAACCTCGATTCTAAGAAAATATTTTAGATGTCCCAGATCTTTGGTCTGAAAATGGCTAAACAAATGTTTCTTCAATTGAGATATTGTAGATACATCATTTCCTGTAATCACTATGTCATCCACATAAACAATCAAATAAACACATCTCCTAGGAGAAGTATGACAATAGAAAACTGAGTGGTCTACCTCACTTCTTTTAAGCCCAAAGTCCTATACAACATGACTAAATTTTCCAAACCAAGCTCGAGGAGATTGTTTGAGGCCATAAAGAGATCTTCACAATTTACAAACTAAACTAGACTCCCCCGAGCAACAAATCCAAGAGGTTGCTCCATGTAAATTTCCTCGTCCAAATCACCATGAAGAAAGACATTTTTAATGTCTAATTGGTGGAGAGGCCAATGACGAATAGCTGCCATAACAAGAAAGAGACGAACAGTAGGAATCTTGGCCACAAGAGAGAAAATGTCACTAAAGTCTAGGCCATAAATTTGAGTATACCCCTCTGCCACTAATTTGGCTTTGAGCCGATCAACTATACCATCAGGGCCAACTTTAATAGCATAAACCCATCTGCATCCAACTGGTCGTTTCCCATGAGGAAGTGGAACTAGCTCCCATGTACCACTATGCTCAAGAGCTTGCATTTCAGCAATCATGACTTCTCTCCATCCAAGATGACCAAGAGCCTCATGAACATTTTTAGGAATAGTAAGAGGAGATATAGAAGAGACAAAGGAGAAATACAAGGGAAATAATCGATGATAACTCAAAAAATTATAAGTAGGATGAGGGTTTCGAGTAAACTGAATACCTTTTCGAAGAGCAATAGGCCATCCAGAGTTATCAGCACTAGGATTCATAGTAGGGACATTTGATGGAGAAGGACATGAATTCGATGACTCTTCAGGTAATGTTGGATCAATTTGTTGTGTTCGACGTTGATATTTGACAAAAGGAGGTGGAGTAGCTTGAATAGGAGTAGTTGCGGGAATAATACACTAAGTAACCTCTTGGTTATGAAGTGAAATTTGAGGTAGAATGGAAACATGAGAACAAACTGGTAGCACTTGTATGGAAAGACAATCATGAGTGGTACATGAGAAAAATGGAGTTTGTTCAAAGACGGTAACATCTACAAACATGTATAATTTTCTAGTCTCTGGAGAGTAACACCTGTACCCTTTCTAAAGACGAGAATAACCTAAGAAAACACATTTAATAGCTCTAGCAGATAATTTATCCAAACCAGGAAAGACATTATGGACAAAACATGTACACCCAAAGACTCGAGGTGAGACATGAAACAAGGATTCCTTTGGATAAATACTGGAGTAAGGGATTTAATTTTCAAGGGAAGAAGAGGACATTCTGTTTATTAAAAAACAAGAAGTGAGAATTGCATCACCCCAATGATGTACAGGAACATTTGCATTGAGCATTAGGGTGCGTGCAGTCTCCACAAGGTGCCTATTTTTTCTTTCTTCTATTCCATTTTATTGGGATGCATGTGGACATGTATACTGATGTAAGACACCTTGTGAGGATAGGAAAGAGAATAATTTAGAAGAGAAATATTCTTTTGCATTGTCACTTCTAAAAATTTTAATTATTCTCCCAAATTGGTTTTTGATCTCATTGAAGAAAGACATAAAAATAGGCAAAAGCTCATAATGATCTTTCAATAAATATACCCAAGTACATCGAGAAAATTCATCAATAAATGTTACAAAATATCTAAAACCAAAATATGTTACACGACTTGGACCTCAAATATCAGAATGAATGATGGTGAAAATCTAGTTACATCTTTTATTAGTTTGCTTGGGAAAAGACAACCTAACATGTTTTCCTAATTGGCATGATTCACAACCTAACTCTTCTAAATTTTTAAGACTAGGAACCAAAAGTTTCAGCTTGGACAAACTTGGGTGACCCAAACGATCATGCAAGAGCTTGGGTGACAAAACAGCAACACAAGATACAGGTAGTTGCGTTTCAAAATAGTAGAGACCACTAGATTCATGTCCTGCACCAATCTTCCGACCCGTACCACGTTCCTGAATAACAAAAGATTTAGCATTAAATGTTAC